TGACGAACCATTGACGAACTATTGACGAACTATTGACGAATTGACGAACCATTGACGAACTATTGACGAACCATTGACGAATTGACGAACCATTGACGAACTATTGACGAATTGACGAACCGTTGACGAACCATTGACGAATTGACGAACCATTGACGAACAATTGACAAACTATTGGTAAGATATGAGATGTCATGGTTAAATCCTTTTCGTTTGTTTGTTTCTGTATATTTTTCTGTTTTGTGTTGTAAAGAGTACATGCACATATGTTGTTAACCTTAAACAAACATATACGAAAAAAAACAACATTGAAACCTAAAACATTTGATTCTTGTTAAGGTAAGTGACTGTCTCTCAAAAACAAATCGGTATTGGGAAGATTTGCCAGATACAAGCCGCATGAAAGCTGACTTTGATTCATCCAACTTCTCCTCTGGTGTAGCGCCTCTGCACCCTTTGACAGATACCAAACTCCAAGATTTTTGAGCTTTTCCAACATGCTTCTTGAGCTTGAGATCTTTGGTAAACATCTGATCAAATTGCGAGTTTGAATCTGAGGATTTCAAACCTTTGGTAACCTTCAGTATGTCTTCCTTTGTCAATTTCACCTGATGCCAGGGGGGCACTTGCTATCTGCACCATTGTTTGATTTTTTTCAACAGAACATCATGCTAAAAATAACAATTACTGTTTTAGAAATTTGAAATTTGGTCCCACCTTTTCTTTCACTGGTTTGTCCACCGCGTCACGTACGTGATCAGGAAGGAGATCGAGGATGTCCCCAAAGCAGCAAGTTCCAGGGTCTTAGCACCAAACATCGTAAAGAAAGAACTTGCACATCGTCCATCATTACTGTTGTTAAGAAAGAACATATATGAGTTGTAAATCACTACATAAGATTTGTTGATAGTTGATATCTGGTATTCACTGTCCGGTTCTTCCACGAGATAGAAGGTTCACTGGTCCCAAAAACATTTGTCAAAACTTAAATAACATCAGCTAGCTACGGGTGGCCATAGCTACTTCGCGGCAGGAGTGTTTGATGTCTGCCATAGACATGAACTTGACATCAGGTCGGCTCTTCTTGTCCATAAAGTTGACGATTGACTCCACTGCGCTTTCAGCACAAGTTGAACCAGTGAACTCTGTAAAAACATTGATTTGCTTGTAAGAACAACTACATCCAGCATCTTCTGCGCGTTTGCACATTCTTTTCCCCCAGGAAAAAATTTCTTCATGAGCTAGACGAAGGTCCTCTTGAGGTTCTCGATGCCCCTCAGGTGACGCAGAACCCTTACGCTGATGTTTCACCTTCACAGGGCCAACTAGTTTTTTTTGATGTTTGGATGTTGAGGTCCAACTTTGGTAGGTGTAAACAGCGTTGTAAAATTAAAAAAACATTTAGCATAACCAGCCTGCAAAGAGTCTTGCGCTTGCATGTACCGCTTTTGTTTGTGGCTCATGAGGTTCTTATCCTTCAAAGGTTTGACATAGACACTGATTTTTTGTTGTCGCATGAAACACTGGTTGAAACAAAAAAAGCATGACTATTCAGTCTCCGAATGAAACCCCTGTCCTGAGACTTGGCAGCGGGCTTCTTGAGCGATGACATCGGGGCAGTGTCATCAGGGTTCCACCCATGCATTTTTAAGTGCTGCATTGGTGGCAGCACTACGTTTGATAACAAAAATGGCAATGATATTTTTGAGCGATAATGGTAAGCACTCCATATGGCAATCATCCAAATATAGAAACAAAATCAACGAATCCTAGCTACTTTAACAGTGGCTTTAAACAATCGCTTAGATGCGCAAGGCTTTAGATGCAACAACCATATTTGCCACATGACTACCCCATCATCCCCAACTCTCAAAGATTATTTTCCCGAACTAAAACACAATGTCACGATACGACAGTATCATCTTGATATTGTCAAAGTATCGCTCCAACCTTGTGAAACAACACTTCATGACACGATCAACTTGACATCGTCATAGTACCACTCCAAAACCTGAATACCCAGGTCATTCCGAAAGAAAACTACTCTGAGTCCTTAAGCCTGAATCTAAAACAAACATTGGGGTCCTTTTCTTATCGCTTTTGGGTGGAAACCACGTAAAAATAGTTGACTTCATTTTTCATTTCTTGTTCTAACCATAGTCATAAGGAAAACAAACTGACAAGTCAAGTAACTTGGTCTTCTACCGTGCGCTTTCTGCTGTAGGTCATGTAAGCGCCCCAGAACTTCTCTCCGCGTTGTTCCACAACTTAGTCATGATGAGTTTTGTCACCACAAAACCAACAAGATAGTTCATGGGTTTCAGAATCCCTATATCATACACAAAAGAACATTAGTTATATACAGTATTCCACTATCAGGCATGAATCTTTGACAGGCGCGTCGTACTTGTTCTCGAGGGGGTTTGCTTCGCCATGCATCATCCCCCAAGACAGAGACAAGAACGGGTAAAAATGTAGAACAAATAGCTTTGTGACCTGCTGTGTTGACATGTGGGGAAAACTCTGGTATCTTAGGAGGTTCTGGTTGGTTGCCCTGGTCTGCCTCTGGCATAGGGTCTGCCTCTGGCATAGGTTCTGCTGCTGCTGGCTGTTCCAATGATGCACCACGCCCATCGGAATCGAGCTGAGTCTGAGTTTCAACATATTGTTCATCACCATCGTCATCATCATCATCAATAATCCAACAGGGTGGAACTTGAACTGGTTCAATCGGGTCTTGCTCGTTCTCAGACACAGAGTCGTCAATCCTGGTTCACTTTTAAATTCCAACGTTGAAAAATGTTCATACAAACACAAATATCAAAACCCATGTTTGCATTTGTATCTTTGAAAGAAAAAGTAGAACTGTTCCATAGTTCCATGTAGAGTGAAATATTTGCAAGTTTCGTGTCAGCACCAGTGCCCTTGTCGTTCAAGACAGGAGACCCGCTATCACTATCAACACAAATGAGAACATCCTTTGCTGCCTTCACTCTAGGTTTGCGTGGCTTCAGCTTCCTCTTTCGCAGTAAACCAAAGAATTCAGAATCCTGATCCAACCTTGGATCATCAGCGCGATTTCCTTGGTGGCGAACGGAATCACAATAAATTCCAAAAATACTTTCGCCCAAAGGCTTAGAGTGTAAAACTTCTTATAACTTATAATAATATATTGTGATATGTGGTAGGATGCCTATACATTTGAATTCCCGAAATGTGATCACACAGCTGTGGAAAAAAATATAAAATGATAAAAATGCTGAGCTAGCCAACGTTTCCTCGGAAGTATTCCGACAACGCTTCAAAACCTTTGCTGTTCATGGTCTTTGGAACATCTTCAATTGAGTCGGGTCGATTGATCATAGCGTCCAAAATTGCCCTGTAGTATCCCCCGCTTTGGGAAGAGTGAGAGAAACAACCTTCCTTCTCATATTCCAATGCTTTCTCCCTTCCTGGACAGTGTTGGAAATCTGGCAAAACAAAGGGATAAGCTTGGAACTTGCACACTGTTTATATATCCCAGGTGGTTTGTTTGAAGTTTGACAGAAACAAGAACAATAAGACCTTCAGGAAGGTAAGTGCAAAAACATTGTGCATAACAGAAGCAACAAGACATTGACCAAGCATCGTTCCAAAAGAATGACATAGTATGCATGATGTTCACATTTCTTGTTGAACTGCTTATTCTCAACCGACGCATGTTTACCAGATTGGGCTTCTTCCCACCCTGCAGACACAATCTTCCGGCGCAAAGACCAGAGGCTGCAATCCAAGAGGTTTGCCGGGTCACGGACCCTCTCAGCTTTGGAAAGTACCGTTGCAAAAACGAGAGCTGATGACTGAAAAACCAGACGTCCCTTTGCATTTAAGAATGCCAAAGCGCGCTCTTCCAACCACTCAACTGCTGTTCGGTCTTCAGCACGCACTTTTTGAGGACGACCGCTCAACACACCGCGTTTTCCAAGTTCACAAATTGTATTCCTCTTGTTGGATTTATCACCATATAAGAAAATAGTTGCTTTTGTTTGAGTCAAAACTATCAAATGGTGCAAACTATTTCTGAAAGAAAACATTGTGTGAACATTTGGTGATTTCCTAAAGTAATGGTACCCCAAATTCCCAAATCATTTTAAGTTTGGCTATGCTAGTATTAAATTGGAACCCATGGTTTTGGGGTACCACCACATTTAAGAAACCTCCATATGTGGTAAGGATTTCTCTGAGCTTCGCAAGGGATTCATCAAGTGGGTCATCAGAAATCGGGTCCCCGACCATTTCATGAACTGCAGCTTCATCAAATTCTGTTTGGTGAACTACATCTTTGAACTCATGTAGGTAGTCAATGTTGTCATTGACGAAAATGTCGTCCAGTGGTACCGGCTGCACCATGGATGAACAAGTTTTGAATGTTGTTGCACCTGGATCACCTTGGCGTTCATTCTCAGGTTCAGCACCCTTGGAAACATCAAAAGTACCCAATACCGCGCAAGACAAAGAGCCTTTCCATTCATCAGTGGACCATTGTGTAAGCCTTTGCATATACTTCCTATGTCCTGGTCTGAACCCAAGAATTTGAAAACATACGTAGGTAGTTGCGGCATGATCAGGTTGGTGTCTTGCAGGCACTGCGTAGTATCCAGATTTGCGGGTCACACTCATAAAATGAGCTAGCTGCTCTAGAAAACCATTCGGAGAAAATGCGTCATCAGGCAAAGCTGCCAAGATTGCAGCGTTGTCTTCTGTGCGATCAGCAAACATCAAATTTAAATTGTGTCCACTTGTGAAACCCTGTAATTCCCTGAATGTTGCCCATTCCTCTTCCACCAGTTGGTCAAAACTATTGAGATAACGTCCCATGTTGGAGCGGAATGAAAATTGTTCCAAATCGTCATGAAGCGAACGTCTCAAGTTGGCCGACATGTGAGCCACCCCCAAAGATCTCGAGACCGCAACACGAACCTCAAGCTAATGCAGACAACCACACTTAAACAAAACAAACCCTAACTTTTACTGCGTGCCCTAGTGCTTTTTAAACCTCTATCTATCAAGTGAGCACAAAATTGTTGGAAACCCAGCAAACAAACAAAACCACACTTACTAAAAAGTATAGCAACGTGTATCAGATGATGCTTCGCTTCTAGCCTTTGCATCACCAACAGGCTTGAGGAGTAAGCAACAAGTTCCCGAAAGAGTTGTTGGTTCATGTAAGGGTCGATGCCACGTCCCCATCTCTCCAATCCAATGCGGTATTTCCCCCGGGCTTTGAAAAACTCTTGCCCAACATCACCCGTATTTCCCAGCCGACCAGCATCATGATCCTTTAATAGTTTCAGGGCCAAAGTTCTGCTTTTGTGGATCTCTGCGCTTGCATCTTGAGAAGGTAACAGATACCCCAACAATGCAACTAGGTTCCACGGGCTCTGGGACAGGAAGGAGGTATATTGTTTGAAACGTCCTTCAAGCATCCGCTTTGCTGTAGCAAAGCCTTCGAGAACACCACCAGCATCCCCCCCAAGATCACGCAAAGCACGGATGGCAGCTAATGCTGCTGGGTTTTGTTCCATAGAAGTTTGCCTCAGCGCCTGCAGGAAAGGCATGGGGCCAGTTGATGCAAATTCAATCAACCTTCTGCCGTTCCACTTGCAAGTCGATGACCCTGTCTCCTTTTTCAACCTCTCTTTGTCCTGGACCAAACCATGGTTAAAGCTGAGATGTGAAATTTGAAACTTAACAGATGTTGGGTAAACCCAGAGAGCTTAACCCTGATATGCCAGTGAAAAGTTGATGGGGTATTCAAGGTTTCTGTCATTTACTGTTTAACAAGTTAGTTTTGTTTAACAGCTACCTTTCCTCCTTTGTTGGATGACAATGACACCCATGCATCCATCCACTCAAGTGATGCCCCCATTCGCATAACAAGCGCATAGCATGCGCAAGGGCCCAAAAGCATCCAGAAACGACCTTGTCATTGAACAGAAGCTCAAGGCATTTGATTTCAGCATCGGAAAAACTGTACTCAGGATCTCCAGAATCCTCTGGGCCACGGCCACTGAGTGAGGTAGGATCGAGCCATGTCAAAAAACCGGCCCGGTGAATGACCCAAGTCAAAACTTCATACCGATATTGCCACCGATGCTTCACAAAGCTTGGGCAGCAGGTTTCAAACATTTTGCCAATGCTTTTTTTGCGGGCATCCCCTTCTACTTTCGGGTTGTCGTAAACAAAATGCTTTCGGAATCTCTCGCAACTGTCAGCTTTTGAAAAATATTTGGCCAACGTGTTCAATTGTTTGTCAAACAAAGCAAACATTTCAGTTTTCCAACATTCCCGTAATTCTTCCATCACATGGTGTAGTGCATGATCCACATCATGCAAAGGCAAAGTACGGGGAAAAGCACGACGGTTTGGATCAGAATCAATATCCGGTAGCAATGCCAATTTCGATTCCACCCCCATGTCGTTTAGAAAGCTGCATGTTCGAAATTTCGCCAGATCAACATTTCCGGTTTCAAGATGGATGCTACGCAGAAGCGCTCGAAACTTGAATGCCGTGCTGGTTGCTTTCCGCCCCAGAACTTGCACGGGCAACACCCGTGTTTTCCAACTCAGAGATTGCAACACACTTGCGGGAGTCAACGAGTAAACATTTTCCAAAGAAACATAGTCCACTTCTGTCACCAAATAATCTCTGGAAAACTGTGGCGATGAATCTGCCCTCAAATGAAGGGCCCACTGAATGTCATCCCTATACAAATGCTCCCGCGACCACCTAGGGTGATAGGATATCCAAAACAAAATCTTGTTTTCCGCACTATTTTTGTAAACATCCTGCAACCAACGAATTTTGAAACAAAAACTGAAGCAGCCTATTGCGTAACACAACGTGCGACACAAGATAGGTGAAGAATTGCTCAGCTATGGTTCACACATAGTCTAAAAACCATTTGATCTTATTGTGAGATTGCATAAACTTGATCAAAACCAATGAGAAACAATCAAACTGCTGACAACACACACCAAGGAACAACATGGTGCAATAATCGGCTTTGATCCGGAATGTATAGATCGTAGTCCGCTGAGGGAGACCCAATTCCTTTGCACTGCAAAACCCAATAGTCTTGATTCTAGATCTGGTAAACTGGAAAACTGATTCATCCAAAAGGTGATTGTGGGCTGATACTTTGATACCGAAACAGATATCAACGCTTGCATTGCTGTCAAGTTGACCAAGGATCCTGCTGCGTCAGATGGTCGCTCAACTTCGGGTCCAGAACCAGTTTCATTGCCCTGATAGGTTTGCTACATTTCGACAGCAACAAATAAATTTCATTTAAATTTCAATATTATATATATATATATATATTAATATTACATACAAATATAGTCACTTTTTTATACAATATATTCCAGATTTTTTAATGTAAGACATTCTTGTTGTTGCGCGTTTGTGCCGCACGTTTATGCTGACAATGATCTTTGGGGAAATTGTTCCTTTCAACCAGATAATGAAAATTATAAACACAAAACATGCTGGAATTGTTTGGCCTAGTTTCAATTTGACAGCTTTGGACATCACGTCGGTGTCAGATTGCAGGCTGCGAACAACATCGCCAAATAAGACTGTATCCAAGACAAAGTCTGATGCATACTTCCAACCCCCTCGTTCTCTACTTTCTCTCCCGCTGGTGAGTTTGAGGTATCTCTGCAAATGTAAAACACCATCCCTGGCACTGTCCCACTGCCCCGCGTCCATGTTGGAAAGAATTGCAGCAAACAAGCTGTCTATTTCCGAGGGATTGGGTTGTTGCCTTGGATCCATGCTACCCGGGACCAGGACTATGCGGTTTGATGCCTGTGTGGCAGCTGACCTACAACTTTTTTTTCTGGCCTTGAAAACAGATTTAGTTTCCAGGGTTGCCATTCGGGCACATTCATCCCAATCAACCTCCTTGTGCGTCCCTTCCAAATCTTGGAAAGAGACTCGCTTGCCGCCACTGAGAGGCTGCAAGAAAATGGTTTCCTGGGGGCCAACAGATGAAATATATGATACGTGCTATTGGCTAGTAAAAGCTGTTCGGTCTTTAAGATATTTGATTTATATAGATTCAGATTCCAGATGGTAATGTTAATATTGAATTACGGTATATATATATATATACATTGAATCTTACCAATACTTGCCGCCGATTTCTCAATGACCCAACCTCATACATATGCATACACACACATAGCCTTACATACATATACACTCACGCACGGACACACACACAGGTACATACGCACATATCCATACATCCATACATCCATCCATCCGTCCGTCCATCATACATCCATGCATCCATGCATCCATCCATCCATGCATCCAAACATCCAAACATCAATGCATCCATCCATCCATCCATCCATGCATCCAAACATCCAAACATCAATGCATCCATACATCCATCCATGCATCCATCCATCCATCCATCCTTACACACATACACACACATACACACATACATACATACATACATACCTACCTACCTACCTACCTACATACCTACATACCCACATACCTACATACCTACATACCTACATACCTACATTCCTACACTACTCCCACTACATACCTACATACCTACACTACATACCTACACTACATACCTACATACCTACATACCTAGATACTTAGATGCACACATAATACGTACATAGACATAAACATACATGCCCACAGAAAAGAGAACAATGACAACATGTGAAGTGTGAGGGACGCCTTGTTTGATCGAAAATGCCTTTGATCCACCAGCGGCAGCTTGATCATCTGCCTACGCCCTTGCTGTAGCACTTTGCAAGCCACAGGTGGTTCAAACGTTCCGTCAAATAGCACTGCATGGTCATTGCTGGAACGCCCACAGCGAAAAATTCTAAGTTGAACAAAATGATCTTTCCTTGGGCTGTCAGTTTGTCCATGCGGGTGGCTTGTGACCGAACTACTAACTAAGAACATGTTTCCCCACCTGTCAGGTGAGGGTTGTTAGATTTTATGTCAGCTGGCCCGCTGCCTTCCTCCTTCTTCTTCTCCTCCTTCTCCTCCCCTCCCCCTGCGCCGGATTTCATAGCATGCCAGGACGTATGCCAGAACATATGGCAGAAAAAATGCCAGATAGAATGCCAGGGAAAATGCCAATATAAATTCCACAAAGGACGCCAGATAGTTAGGATGTCAGAATAGATGCCAGATAGACTGCCAGAATAGAATGTCTGATAGAATGCCAGAAAAATGCCAGAATTTGAATAGAATGTAAGAAGATTATATCACACATGTTTCCAGCTGATATGTCATGTCAGAGTCAGAAACTGTGACAAATTGAGTTTCAGGGTAGGGATTAGGGATCACTTGAAGTAACATTTTCTCTGGAATGTGAATATGCCCCAAAAAAAATCGTTGAAGTTCGGACTGTTCGGACTATGAGGAACACTAATTCATTAAATGTTGCCAAGTTGGGAAAAGCGACACCTCACCAGAATCCGCCCAGCCCGAGCGCAGAAAACACCACAGCACTTTGGATTCCAGCCGTTCGTTCTGCCATCCTGACAGCGAATCATCCAGGGACTGATGCGGCTCCGAAGATGGTAGTGAGCCCTCATGGCCCGCACTCGCACCACCAACCGCACATACTTGTGCCATTCGCAAAGTGAAATCAAATGCCAGTCTTAGGTGATCTTGGGGACTGTATTTGACATGTGCTGCATGCATACTGACTATGATATGGCTGTCTATTACTGATTCATGATTATCATCTGATGATTTCCCAGTGCATGTGGCATCTAAAAAATGTGAGGGAAAATTAAAAAAGGAAAATCAACATAATATAATTACCAAACTTCATAAATGAATATGGTTTACAATTTGCAATCATATTTTCATGTTTCGTTTCTGGCGGAATGCTTTAGAATCTTTAGAACTTGGTTGTTGGTTCAAATGTTACCAGTAAGTAATTGGTGCCTCGACTCAATTCCAGGCGCAGCTGACATTGGGCCATCGCAAACATGACCACGGTTTGTCTTCAAGTAGAGAATCCCGCTTTTGGTGAACTTAGAACGGCTGTTCAACCCACATCGGCATTTTCTTTCCGATGAAGAATCCAACTCTTAGTTCTTTAGTAATCCAAAATTTTGTTGTTTGAGTTGAACCATCCCCGGTCAGCAAAAGTTCAAGGGTAACCGAATAAGCCCTTAAAGATAGAAGTGATAGAAGGTCCTTAGTCTTGGGCATCCATGTCGTATGTTTCCCCACCAAAAATGATTCAATTACATTGTAAACTGTACAGCCTCGGAAACAAAATTGTTTCAGCTGTTGCCAAAAAACCAATGGTTTAAAACCCATTTTTCTGAAGTTCCAAGTTGTTCAAGGTCCCTTTTGGTGGGGTACCTAGGCGCCTTCCCCCGAAAGGGCTGGCTGACATTAGTACAGCAAACCAGAAATCCAGAATTTCCGACTGACATAGATCTGAAAGAGATACATTGATTGATGCAGTCGTCGCTGCATCGCCATGCAAAAAAAAACTGTCAGCATGCACATGGAAACACCAGGCTAGGGCTTCTTGTCGAAGTCCACATTCATCAACTCCCTGCGGTACGCTGTTGTTGCACCCAAAAACACATCCACTCTCATCTTCTTGAGGAAAGCGGCAAGATCTGGAGCTTGTGACTTGGGTGCCGCTGTGATCTTGGGCGTATAGTGTGCCAAAATCCACTTTGCATATTGCCCGGCCTCATCATCGTGGTTGAAGACCTTCAAAATGAATTCATGATAGGACATTTCTTTGTCCCTCCATTTCTTCAGCTTGATCTTCGTGCTGGCCCACGACTTGATGCCTTGCACATGCACTGGATAAGGCACAGCTGGGTCCATGTCACCAGACTGATAACTGGGGTACCAACTCTTGTCATTCCAATCCGTTGCATTATGCTGAATTGTGGTTGGAATTCCCCATAGGTGATTTGGGAACCACGGCGGTGAGACATCTGCTGGAATATATTCAAAGCCAAAGAGTTCGTCTTCATCCTCAAAGACATCACGATTCCTCTTAAAGCTTTCATCCATGCGTCCACTTTTGCCGTCCCCATCAACTTCTTCCGGTACCTCTTCAAGCTTGGGAGTTGAATTCCTGGCTGCTTTGTTGGGCCCGCTTGGCTTTGGAATAGGCAGCTGTTTCGCTGCTGAATTCTCTGGTGCAGGAGCAGAAGCCTTTGCTGGTGGAAATACTGATTCTGTCCCCATAGCGGCAGCTGAATGTTCTGGGAATCCAGACTTAGGCATTGCAGTGGCAGCAGGTGGAAGATTAATTGGCGGTGTGCCTTGCTGAACATTCCCAAAGATCTGCAAAACAGGCGGATCAGCCTTTGGTGCAGCAGCCCACGGGTCATCGTCAGGGTCATAGTTCATCTTGGGCGGTCGCCCAGACGATGCCGGCGGTGGGTTCACACTCTTTGGAGGCGGTCCAGTTCCCTTCCATCCTGGCCATTGTCCTGCGGCCTTCTGTGCATTCCATTCAGCCTGACGCGGGTCAGGAGCATGCTTATGTTCTAATTGGTGCAAAGACAGAGTCTGTGTCATCATCTGGTTGCGCTCTGCCTTGCGCATCAATTCACGCAAAAGCTCCATTTCCACTCCAGTCATATCGGTCCCAGGATAGCATTCCATGCCAGCTGAATTCGGTGGTGGTGTAGGTCGGTTTGCCATGGCTCTAAGTCGGCGGCAGGCAACTACTTAATTAGTTGAAACTGTTTCCAACCCTCACACACACACACCAAAAGGAAGAAAAGAGTCCGGCCAAGCACAAAACCTGAGAGGTTACCTGCTGTGTCACCTGAAGTTTTCCATTCAGACATCTTTGATGTCGCGCGTCAGAACATGTGTTGTGACATCTTTGCAGTGAATTCCCTCTCTCCGTGCTTGAACGCAAAAACTAAAATACAACACAAACTGTTCTGTGTTCCACATCAACTGTACTGCAGTTTCGCGTTTGTTTCAGTGACATCAACTGCCGTTTGTCTGTTTGCGTTTCGCATTCGGCGACAAACCAAAAAAAACAACATGCACTCCTAAACGACGTGCATCGGGATGCAGTAAGTGTCACATCAACTGCTGTGCTTCGTTTCAGTGCTTCACATCAACTGCCATCTGTTTGTTTCGTCTGTTTTGGGTTCAGTTGAAATAAAGCACATGCACAAAAAACGCAAATAAAGTTGTTCCATGCAGGTTTGAAAAATAACATGCAAACGTGCAAACATTCCCAAACCTACATTACAAATCTAGAAAACCTCTCCAGCATACCTGTCCCCCTCTTAAACTGTGCGCTGTCCGGAGACAGGACATGCCAAAAAAAAACTTCTCTCTCTGGTTGTTGCATGAATTCCTAAGGAAATTCATGCGGTGTTCCTTGGTGAGTCATGCGGCGCGACGTGCAGCTCTCACAGCTGCTAAAATTCCTTTAGCCAGTTCCTTGGTATAAGATCCTGTCCGGACCCAGTTAACATCCATCACACCAGCATGCTTCTCACATGTGCACGATACAAAACGTTTTGTCAACACGTTGCAAAAACCTGAAAACGAGCTTCGAAAAATGAGGCATTTCCCTACAGGCAAACCATTGTCTGCTTTGCATCCAGTTTGGCAAAGAAACACTTCTGATTCAAATTCTAAACCACAGTGCTTCAAAACATGCTTGGTTTCATCTCTCTTCCAAATGTTATTGTTCCTTGGGAGTTCAAATGATCTCGAATTCCCCAGAGTCAAATACTTAGGCACACCTTTCATGATGCCTTCCCATGCAACATCGGCGTCACTCAAACCTGCAGTTCCAAAATGTTTTAACGGTGAGCCTGAGCTACATGGTGTAGAGGCATGCACATGAATCCAGTGATACCCAAGTTGAGCTTGGACCTCTACAAAGTGCTTCACTCGTGCAAACATTGCATCGGTCTCAACCTCTTTCACAACTCCAACATAGGGCATTCGAGCAACTCGACATGCATCACGAAGAGCTGAATTCGTGCCACAGCACACTTCGACAAATGCAATCTCTTGTTTTCCAGAAACAACATCATTGACGAGCAACATGTCATTGACTGATCGAAGATCCCTGGCAGGCACCTCCACAGCTTCAAAACCTAAGCTTGCACGATGACGTAAGAAGTCTTTCGTGCTCAGGCACTTTGTGAACAGGTCAGCAACATTCTCAGTTCCTGCTCGGTGCTCGATCTCGAGTTCTCCAGAAGCCATTTTGGATTTCATCCATGCCAAACGAATCTCCACATGCCTGCTCCTCTTAGGAATATCCTGGCCCACAAGCAATTGCAATGCAGAAGAGCTATCGGATTCTAACAGAATCTTTGGCACGCTCCTCGGTTGCATCTCTCCCAAACCAACATAGACCCTCTGGCAGAATTGGCTGAAAGCCACACTTTCTTGAGATACAGCTTGTAGTGCATAGAGCTAGGCTTCGCAAGACGAAAGTGAAACTGACTGTTGTTGGCGTGCAATGGATCGCACAAGTCCACCTTCGCAGAAAACCACACCACCTGTAATCCCCTTTCTGCCATTGAATCTATATGGTGCAAAGGAAGCATCTGAAAAAGAGTGCAGGATGCAATGTCGTGCAGCTCCAATCATAAGTTCCTCATACTTCGGCGATGGAAGCCGCAGACAAGTTCCCACATCTCCATGCAAAAAGCGTAGCAAAGCTTTGATTGCCATTTCAGTACCATGCGTAGGGAGCAGCTTGCTGCGAGCCTATCAGGCTAAGAAACAACTTCAGATCATGCCGTGATTGTGCCATCCATAGCAGCTTCCCAAGTGCTCTCCGAAACCTCGAGTAAGCTGCAGCCGTTAGAGGCTGTTGCATGCTTTTGTCCGTCAAGGCTCTTTCAAGCACTGCCGCAACATCAGGCACGGTGTCGGATCCCTTGTTCACACTGAATTCCACAAAGGTCGTGTCCAGAAACTTCGGGTCAACACCAATTGACAATGAATCATCCGTTGCTCCCCGTTGAATTCTTCTCCCAATAACAGTCAGTGCACCTCCACCTTGCTCGGCGGGTAGGATTACGCCAGTCTCTTTCAGCGGGACTGCTTTCCCAATTGCTCTCTCAACCAGCTTCTCACTACGTGCAGTTTGACAACAAAGAAGAAGATCATCAACATAGGCTACCAACAATGCAGTTTCTCCATGCACAATACCCTGGTAGATGCAAGGTTCAACTTCATCCGAAACAAGGCCAACTCCTCGAATGGAGTCACTGAGCAAATTCAACCAATGCAGTGACGCATCTCGAAGACCATTCAGCGCTTTGTAGAGCAAGAGATATGCAGGAGAACCATCCATCATGGAGACAGATAATGGTAGCTTGAGGACGATGACAAGACCACGAGGTAGAGGAGAATGCATGAATGCGTGTGAGACATCAAGACCTTTAAGTCGTAGAGCTCGTCTCGAAGCCAGTGACAACACGAAATGCAAGCCCTCAATGCTCGGAGTGGGGCTAGAAATTCCTAATTTTCGTGCAGAGACACCTTTGTTGATGTCTTTGGCTACGATCCTAACTCTGACCCTTGTCTCACTCTTGTATGCTGACACCCAACGGCTTGGGATCACACGCATGCTTGGGTTCTTTTTCTTCAAT